TTTTAACCAATTTTATTTGTAACCTGCTTATTCTACATCACTCATCAGCCAAGTTGAACGGATATTTTCACAGGTTAATCTAATGAAAATTTAGTTGAGAAATAAGCTAAAAACGAGTACAATTTCATCTTTACTGACTCATGTTTATTTTAGTATTGAGAATTTTAGTATGCAAAAAACGCGCGATTTTTTGGAGCCCTTTTTTGTGGTGAGGTTTTGGACCACCCAACCAGCTCTATGTGTGCTGGAGCCCTTAATAATGAAAGAAAAATGAGTCTACCGAAAAGTGTCGAGCTTATCTACCGAAACTCGATTCTCGGACCTGGCAACCCTGCGTAAACCGTTCTGCGCACTTTGGCAACTCGTCTTTATCTATGTTTGGCAACACGCCAGCATAAATAACCTCACTGTTTGAGTGGAAGAAATGCCCCCCAAAAAGGCGGCGGGATCCAAAGGTGGCAAGGGGGCCAAAGGCGATGAATCGAGCGATAAAGGTGAAAAGGAAGCGGCCTTTAGATTGGTGACTAAAGTGGGGATGTTGCAGGCAAAGAGAAAAAAGGGGGCACCGCAGTCAAGGTGCGGCACATCTTGTGCGAGAAGCAGGGCAAGTGTTTGGAGGCATTGGAGAAGCTGAAGAGTGGGCAGAAGTTTCCTGAAGTGGCAGCCGCCTATAGTGAGGACAAGGCGCGTTCGGGGGGCGATTTGGGATGGATGACGCGAGGCTCGATGGTGGGGCCTTTTCAGGACGCCGCCTTCGCTCTGCCAGTGTCCACAGTGAACAGCCCCGTCTACACGGACCCGCCCATCAAAACCAAGTTCGGCTACCACATCATAATGGTCGAAGGGAAAAAATGAACTTTCATGCATTTATTAGCTCTTTCATACATCCAGTAAACGTTAAGGCATTGCTTTGAACTTTCGAAGTTATTGGCGTCTAAAACATTAAATATAATACTTGTTTCTTAGAGTCCAATATGAACAATCCTAGTCAGTCAAGGGGCGCCAACCACTATGTACAAGTATTTACAATCGTTAGTAGAAATTTCCGAGAACTAAGCCTAGTAAAACGTCGAAAGTATATAATTTCACGAATTAATCCTTTTGAAAGCCGTACAAAGGTTTATAAAAAAAAGGCTGGCGAAAGCGGAGCCCCGTTTCTGTGCGTCAACTCAGCCCAAACGGTAATTGACATTAATCCAGGGGGCAAGTTTGGAAGACAGTGGCACGTTGCCGCCCTGTTTCAAGCACCATTGCATTGCACAGTCAAATACTGATTTTGTTATCGTTACCTGCGGCCGCTCACACGTAGGCCTCCACCCGGCGCCGTTTCAGTCCATTGAAGAAAACACGCCAGCTGTGCACGGTTTTGCCAAATCCCGACCAAATCCACACACTGGACGTGATCCCCACAATCATAGTCATCAGGTACTTAACCATGAAGGCCTCAAAGTACGGGTAGTGTTTGGTTGGCTTAGTCCCTAATTGAACCACATGGGATGTTAGTAAGCTGAATTATTTGTGCTTGGATCGACTTACTTGAGATCGGGCAAGGGACCGAGTACTTTGGGTTGTGGCAAATGTCCGTCCACCAGGTGCGCATCCAGTCATCATAGTACGAGTTTTCGTAGAATAGGCACCCGATCACTAAAACGGACACGATCGTCAACTTAGCAAGCGTAGTCCAATTGAACATCACTCACCTATGAGCGCAGGCAGCGTGTAGAGCACAGAGAAGATTCCGATGCGGATCATCAGCTTTTCCAGCTTCTCAGTTTTGGTGCCTTCGTGCTTCATTACAGTGCGGATCCGGAACAGAGACACGAACCCGCTCATCAAAAACACCGTGCCAAAGATCAGGTAGATGACCAGCGGCAGCAGAACGAAAATCCGCATAGTATCCACGTTCCAGATGCCCACGTAACAAACGCCGCTCAACACATCGCCTAGAATATTTAGCTTTAAAACCTGCAAGGACTCTTCAATTATAGCTCCGCCAGAAACTTACCATCAACTTTTCCCAAAGCCAAAATGGCAATGGTTTTGATCCCAGGAATCGCCCAGGCGACCAAATGGAAGTACTGAGAGTTGGCCTCGATGGCTTCATGCCCCCACTTGAGTCCCGCCGCTAGAAACCAAGTGAGCGTCAAAATCACCCACCAAATGCTGGACGCCATGCTGAAGAAGTAGAGAACCATGAAGAGGATGGTGCAGGACTCGTGCTTGGTGCCCTGCGTGATGGTACTCAACGTAACGTTGCCGTACTTGGAAGCAAAGGGTTCGCGGCAGGCGATTGTATCGTTCGCTAAAAAGCCCACCAAGTAGGCGCCAGCCACCATAAAGTAACAGACCGACAGGAAAATGATGGGGCGCTCTGGGTAGCGAAAGCGATCGGTGTCGATCAGGAAAGTGCAGATGGTGAACAGGCAGCTGATGGAGCACAGTATGGCCCAGATGCCGATCCACAACTTGGAGAACTGGCGTTTGTGTTCAGTGAAGAACATCAGGTCGCAGGGAGCGCCGCAGTTCTTCTCCACTTTGTCACCCACCTTAAAGCTGTACTCCAGCACGGCAGGCACCTTGAACTGTTCCGGGCACACGAAGCCAAAGTTCTTCCCGTGGGCCGGCGGTTCGAATTGATCCAGAATACGGTTCTTTTTGTCAGCCCCACTAGACTGCTGGTTGACGGACACTTGCTTGTCCTCGCCGACGCAAAGATCGTCCGACGTCTCTGGAAAGTTTTCGCAGCGCAAAACCTCCGGCCAGGAGTATCCGAATCTTTTCATGATTTGCTCACAACCGTTTTTCGCAGAAAGGCACAGCGAGCGACAGGGAGGAATGGGGTGGTCCAAGATAGTGCAAACTGGCGCGTACACTGAACACAGAAAAAACTGTATATCGGGGCTACAGGCCACCTTAATAAGCGACATGTACTGGTTCATCTCCAGACCAGCCTCGTCTTGCGAGCTGTGACCCACCAAGTTGGGCATTATGGTCTGGTTGTAAGGGATGTTGAGGCAGGTGGGTACAGTGATGGGCTGGCATTTGCCGTGCGTTGGAACACTATCGTCAGTGTCGCTCACGCGGGTGCTGCCGTAACGTTCCCCCCTAGCCGCACTAAGGAGCATCCACAGCAGGGTGGCGCCTGCTAGCATGGCGGCGCGCTACTGATTAGCCTATGGATGGTCACTACACTGCACTGGGGCTTGCAAATGCCCCCAAACACATTATTACACGAACAAAAACAAACATAAACAAAACGCCAGGGTGGACCGTGACAACTGTCTACCCTGTCTACCCCACGTAGACGGCTGCTAGTGATGGGAACAATCGAATTCCGACTTTTCGTTAGGAGCGATAGCGAGAAAGTGAGACGTGATATAGTCGTTTTTTTCGCGCTGAAGAGAGATGCATGACAGCTTTTGAGGCATACATCGATCTTAGGAAAGGTTTACTGCGGGGTATGCGTCTCTTTTCAACTTGCGTATTCTTATATTTTAATTGTAGCTTTAAGCCCGTGTCCCATGCATTCGTTTATACGATGGTACGATACGAAAGTGTTTCTATTGGTTGGAATTGACAGATCTCCAACCAATAGAAACACTTTCGAATCATCGTATAAACGGATGCTTGGGACACGGGCTTTAAGCTGCAGCAATTTATTGTTTCACCTTAAAGAATATTTTATATTAAGCAGCTTCAATGAGAAAACATCTTGAATAAACCATAATTTTCTCTAAAAATCAAACACTTGAAATTTGCTTTCCCAAAACCATTCAATTTTTTTTCGTTTTTTTTTAGAAAAATTGTGAGTGACCATCACAAAAGTTGTTTAATTTTACTAAAATTTTTTAAGTCTTATATAATTTATTATTAATATAAAACACAGAAATATCAAAATTTGACATTTTGTCAAATGTCGCTGTCGTTTTTTTTAAATGAAACACCCTGTGTATTTTTACAAAGGTCGATTGTATTTTTTTTCCCCATTTCGGAAATATATACAGTGTGATTCACAACCTTATGGACACAGAGCAGGGGCGTGTAGAAGACCTCAAATCAAGTGGAGTCTCCATTTAATAAGAGGAATAAAAACGTTCTATTATTATTATTATTATTATTATTTAAGTTTTTTTTCTCAGGCTCATGGTTAAAGAGATTCCGGGTGTTAAAGTTTCAATTTTTTTTAAATATTTTTGCATTAGCTTCTACAGTTTATGAGATATTTTGCTAAAATTTTGTAAGGTGACTGGTGGTGGAAATCTACTGGGCGTTCCTGTTTCTACGGGCATACCCCCTTTCACCCCCCGAAATTTTTGTGGTGCGCCACTGACTTCGACCGAACGAATTTTTGAATTTGTTGTTCAATTTAAGAATTTTCTTATCTCTTGCAGTTTTTTTGTATCTCGTCTTTGTTTTCGAGTTATTTGCACAAACATAAGTCCATGTAGGGACTGTTCCTGGGTGATTTTCCATGAATTTTCTTATATGTTTTTTGCGTCCTTTTGCTCACATTTTTTTGTGAAGGAAATTAATTTCAAAATAAAATGAAATATTCGTTACATTTTTGTGTATTTTTATTTGGATTAGCTTACAGCCGATCAACCTCAATTATTGTAAATAAAATTAAAGCAAAAAAATTATACATTTTAAAGTTAACTCGTCAGCCATCCCGGTTTTAACTTCTTGAACACTTGAAGCTTTCACACAAAAATATGAACAAAAGGACACAAAAAATGTATTAAAAAAATTCGAAAACGAAGACAGATACGAAAAAACTGCAAGAGATCAGAACATTCTTGAATTGAASAAAAAATTGAAAAATGTGTTCGCTCGAAGTCAGTGGCGCATAACAAAATAGTTCGGGGGGGGGGGTAAAAAGAACACCCTATAGATTTTCACAACCAGTCGCCTTACCTACGGGTAAAGGGTCTAAACATTAGCCTACGTTAAAAATTTCAGCAAAATATCTCATACTGTAGGAGTTAAAGAGAAAATATCAACATTTGTTTGAAACTTTAACACCTGTATCTCGTTGAGCGTGGGCCTGAGAAAACAAAACTGAAATGGAAACTTGATTTGTTTTGAGGTTTTCTACACGCCCCTGTTCCGTGTTCATATGGTTGTGAATCACCCTTTATATTGCTTATACGTATTTGTATTAGTCGTTTTTTCTGTATCACTTTTTAAAATTTTGCATGGCAATAAACTAAAGTAGCCTGAAATGAGACAAAACCTATAGAAAGACAATGTCTAAACAAATAACTAAATAAAAACAAAATCATTAAAATCACTGATTGTGTATGTGACCTCCGTTTAACGCTAGACATGCTCTATAATGTA